TTAACGTCGCGGCACGACGTGAATCACTTTCTGCCTCCACTTTGAACTTATGAATCGGACCCCAAGTTTTGATTCTACTCTATGATCATGCTCCTGGGATGGTGGAATGAATCTGACTGACCCAATAAAATAATATATTATTTTGCATTTCTTGGCCTTTGGATGAGGTGTGTAATTCCGACTTTCTAGCAAGAAGAATTCCAGAATGTAAGCATCTTGTTCCTTATTCCTTGATTCTTCAAATAGCTTGGATGACTCTATTTCCATATCATCATCTAAACACAATGTGAAAAAATGCTTGGAGTGAGGACCAATGTGCTCAACTACATGAACATTGGGACTGTCTACCTTCTCAACACTAATGACAATAGAGTCAACTAAATATGTATCCTCAATATCCTTGGTTGACTCTAGTATCTCTTTTACAATATTGACATCCTCAAATCTAGTGCGATTGATTGTTGGTGTTCTACTCTGGCCTCCTCCTCTAGCTCATCCTCATATTTTTTTAAATCCTGCAGTATAATGGCAATTTCTGCAGCCAATTCATGCTCATACTGTCTACTATCCACAATGTCAACTTGTTGCGCTTTACAAGGTTCAATTAATTTATTCGCTTGAGCCTCCAAGTTGTGAATAGTTGTACCTTGCCTTTGTACCCGTAGTTGTATCTCATACTCGATCTCTTTCAGGTCCTCATACCTGGGTTCTTTGTTTCTATTAACTTCACAAGAAAAAGAAGAACCATCAAAGTAAGGGGTTGGGGGAAGATAAGAAATATAAGCACAACCATGAAATTGACCATCTTGACCACCACACATATCACACACATTCCACACATAAAATTAAGTTGGTGCACATAACTCGCTCTCGGAAATATTTTGATAATTTTGCCCTGCGTGGTTTCCTCCACAATATGCATAAGGAGGATAAAAGTAGAATTACCAACATCAAAATTCTCATAATTCCCTGATGCGATGTTTCTCAAATAAAACTAAAATAAAAAGATTAAAAATATCAAATACTAAAATAAAATAAAAGTTCAAACTTGAAACCTAGCAATATGTACACCTACAACTGCATCGTTAGTTCCCCGGCAGTGGCGCCAAAATTTGATCACGCCCAACTATGCCTTATAAAAAGGACTAAGCGGTCGTTGCAAATATAATCCGGTTTACAAGTGCGGAGTCGAATCCCACAAAGAACTAAGGCTTAGCTACAGTTGTTCACTATCACCAAGACTACACGCTTGAACAATTCCTAACTTATAGATATTAAGATTCTTGTGTTTAACTAACTAACTAACAAATTAAAATAATAAATTAACACTAAAGATACTACAGGTTGGAGAAAAGATTAGGGAGATCTAGAGTTATGATTTCCCCAATTGTCGGAATCCTTCCCGCTATGTCTTCTATAATTTCGCCTAAGTATTCTCTACCGATCATGAGCGCTCTGCGTGTTGTAATTCTCTCCCGAGTAATTACGATAATTTACTAGACATACTCTCCCGAGTTACGCTAGCTGGCTTAATTACAGCTCACTTAGATCGCACCCAAGGTTTCGTTATCCCTAATCCCACCTTTAAATCATTAGTTATCGATTCCTCACATATGTCGAGAGTGATGTTGTTCAACAACTACCTAGATTTGCACTCTCTCCCGAGTAATACATACTAAATAAGCACAGCTAATTGAGGGCCCTTCAATCAATCACAAGAATAATATAGTTGAACAAATAGAGAAAATACTACGGCTCAATTATATAAAAATATAACAAGAATTTATCCTACAAAAGGTTCCATCAAAACCCTAGATAACAAATTAGCTATTCATAATAGTATGTAAATCTACAATACTAAAAGTCATAACCAACAATGAAAAATAGGAAGAGGAAGGAAAAACTCGTAGAAGAATTCCCCGCCTTACTCCTATTGTGTATCTGCCTCCTTAGGTCGAATTTGTGTCAAAAATTGGTCTCCTCCCCTCAAAATACCATTTTTCCATGTATATATACCAAGTAGGGTCGGGCCCAAACAATTATACCTTCTCCTACGCGAAAAAGGACAAGTTTCTAGGCCTGGACATCCGCAGCCGCGGTCCGGGCACGGTACTTTCCTAGTGTACTGCCTCAGTCCGCGTCAGATCCGCGGTCTCGGTTTAGACCGCGTTTTTCACCCTGTTCCGTTTGGAATTTGGAAAACATAAAACATAAAAATTGTAGCCGTTTGAGTTAGCTCCAATCATATATTGTGGAGCCTAAATAGAGTTCAGAGCAAAAAGTTATGTGCATTTTACTAGACAGTACGCAATATGCCTACTCGATTCTTTGTGTTGTTGCTCTATCATCCGTTGATCCCTGAATATGATCCCGGCTTAATTTCTCGGGCTTTTACTCAGACTTCAAAGCTTCAAATCACTTGAATTCATTCTATAACTTCTACATAACTCGGAATCACTCCTACAAGGCATAAAACACACAATTAGTGCAAGACACTAGCGATTAAAGCTCAAACTCAATTAAAGTGCAGTAAATTTGAGTGTAATAAGCGACTAAAATACGTAATTATAACCTATCATCAGTTAATAACTGGATTCTAAATTGAATGGTTGTATATAATTAATGAATTTCTTTAACATAAATATACTTTTTGAACAAAAACTACTTAATTTTCTCTAATCCGTATCCAGGCTACTAGCTCCGCTCCGCTCGATTTATCTGGTGGTGAAGTTTGTTGGTGTTGGTGGTTGTATGATGGTGCATGGTTAATGCCAGCGATAATTGCCAGTGTCAATAAATAGAGCAGTGTTACCACAATACATTCAAACAAATTTTTAACTGAGCGAGTCTTAATAACATTAAAATTTGTACACGATTCAAATAATACAAACTTATTAAGAACTAATAAGTGATTATTAAAAAAATCATACACTTTAATAGGCTGACATTTGAATGATCTAACCTCCACTAGGTACAAACAAATAGGGCGCTATTCATAACTTTAACCATAAATTTTTGAGTTATCCATTCAAGTCGTCATGGAATTAAATAATGGTCAGCGTATTTGTTCAAATTTTTATTCGATAGGGCCCCAATCACTTATAATCTCAAAGGAACAGTAATAATTAAAGGATTTAACTTATTGTATGCGCGAACAGTGTTTTGATTTTTATATCATTAATTGATGCACTTTAACTTGTTATATATAGCATATCATATGCTTTATTTCTATATTATTAAAATAACAAATTAGACTTGTTATAAGTTCATAGAGTTATTTGATATTACACCCAAAGTAAGTTTAGTCATTAATAAAGTGGATGCAAATATTGAATCGTGTATAATAAAGTTGAGAGGTTGGCCTTAGTAGGTATGAGGAGGGGTAAGGTAGGCGTAAGAAGTATCGGAGAGGTAATTAGACAAGACATGACGTAACTGGAGCGTATCGAGAACATGACCCTTGGTAGAAAGGGGTGAAGATCGAGGATTGTGGTAGCAGGGGCGTACACAAAGTTCTTCACAAGCGGTGTCGATATTTAAAAAAGTAAATAAATGAACAAATAAAACAATGATGCTACATTTAAAAAAAAGATTCAAATTATATCAATAAAATGCAGTACAACTACAATATTATAACTTTCCTCGATGAATTTTGACTTTCTGAAATGTATGCATAAAGCCTCATATAGTACTACATATTTTTATTTTTTTTATACAAGGCATCACACAACCATTCAAATTTAAATAAGTTTTAATAAATGGAAGTTAGCTTTTAAAAAATAATCCATTAAGGGGTTGAGTTTTGAACCACTCACCTCCCACTCAAAATTTGATGCTTACCCACTGGACCAAGACGCACCTACGGGCAAACACTGTCATTTCAGCATTTATAGGGATTCTTTAAAATATTATATATTTAATATAATATATATTTAATGAATTCTACGGACGAAGCGGTGCACTAAGGTGCCTCCGCCCTGTGTGGTAGAAGGATAGTAAGTAGTCAAGCGTGTCATTTTTCTTTCTTAATTTGATATCATTAATGTTAGTATGGTATCATTTTATTATCAGATTGTTATTACTACCTATTGTTTGATTGCTATCTTTGCTTTGCTTCCTTAATATCTTGTTGTTGTTGCTACTGCTTCTTTTCTTTAGCAGAGGGTCTATCGAAAATAACCTCTTTACCTTCCTAGGATAGGGTAAGGTTGCATACACTACCTAGGGCTATCAAATTTTGGCTAAAGCCCAAATGGCCCGTCCAACTCGCCTAAGGTTGGGCTGGTTATTGACCCGCCTATTTATTGAACTTAGTCCATCTTGACCCAATCTATATTTCAACCCATTTAAAGTTGGGCTAATTTTTACCCCAAATTGATCCATGAGTAACTTTGCCAAAATATCTTTAAAATAATTCTTTTTTTGTTTGATATGCTTATATATGACCATAAAAAAAAGTCTTATTTAGTAATTATACAATTCATAAGATGACAGCACGTATTAAGTAAAACTTGAAAAGAGTTGTGCGGGTTGGACTATGACCCGAATTTTAGCCTATCTTGACCCAAACCATTTTAGCCCAAGTAATTTTTGGGTGAATCATTTGACCCGCCCAATTATTGACTCAACTCATTTTGATCCGCCCATTTGACATCCCTAACTTTACCCTTATCAAATTCCACTTATGAGAAAGTGGTTGTTGTTGTGTATAACAAAGTTATACATTGTCACTTATCAGTGGGCAAAGAGAAATTTTCTTGGAATTAAAGGCATTTGCTATGAAGTTTCCTGGAATTGTTGGCTTGTAGTTTCCCCTTATAATAAGTAGTGTTATTTTCAATAGTTCCAAATTTGACACGTGCCCTAATAGTGAATAAACCAGTACTAGCAATAGTAGGGTTACCAGCAAAACCTAACGTCGTACATACATTTTTACAACCTCAAAATAAATGCCAAAAAACTTTCCCCTTTCTCACAATACTCTTTCCACAAATGTCACTCTCTCACTTTCTTGACCCTTTTCTCCTTTTTCACACACAAATGGATGTCTAATCTATTTTCTTCCCCCTTTTCTTGGACCAAAAATCAAAGGACGTTATCTACTTCTCTCTTTTACTCACTAATTTCAGCTCTTTCTCAAGATTTCTATACAAAAAATTTCAAAGTATTACTATAGAGAAATCCCTTTTTTTGTAACTAGCCAAAATCTTCGTAGTCGATATGCATAATGTTATTGTAGTGTTATTAGGATATATCCTTCATTTGATTTACTACTCTAAAGTTTGCCATTTTCATCTTCAACCTTTGACCATGCTACACTAGGTCAACTACATATTTGACCCTTATATTATTCTTACTAATTACTAATAGTAAAAGCTGTTCCAGTTCACCTCAATATAGGGGGTTTTCTGACTCTTACACAATAAGATTTTACAAAAATAACCATAAGATCTGATAAACCTTAGAGGGAAACAACAGTTGTTGCTTAGGGTATATCTGTTTTCTTGCTTGTTAGCGTTTGACTAATCATAAGATAGAAAGAACATTTCTCGCCTTTTTAGTATACTATATTTCCCATGGATTTTGTGAGAGCAAAAGTCAATGTAACTTCAAGAAATATTATTCCCAGCAAAAGTAGTGATCTCTCAAACACTACTGTTATTCCTTTCTCAGCTCCACCATTAAGTCGATATGAGAACCAGAAACGTCGAGATTGGAACACTTTCTGTCAATACTTAAGAAACCACCATCCGCCATTGTCGTTTTCTATTTGCAGCAGTGTTCACGTCCTGGAATTTCTTAGGTAATATTTAATTTCAAAGTTTTGAACTTATTAGTACTTCTGTTTGTTAGTATATATAATTCCTATATTTCACATGTATTTGTTAGTCAAAATAAGAATAAGATACGGTCAAAATTTGGTTCCGGAATAACACTTGGCTTTAAGTGTAGTAGTTGAGGGTTTTTCCGATCTATTATTTGAATTAATTAAGCCTATAAATAAGCATGTTCACTTCACTATCTTATATGGAAATACCAAGCTAGTTACTTTCTCTCTATTCTGTTAATCATTCTTCCTATTATCCATGTTCTATTCAAACACTCCCTCCGTTTCAATTTATGTGAACCTATTTGACTAGACACGGAGTTTAACAAAAAAAAAAAGATTTTTGAACTTGTGATATATAATGAAGTACATATATTTTATGTGGTTATAAATTGTCGTATAAAGGTAAATTGTTTCCAAATATAAAAAGATATCATTTTTTGGTATAGACTAAAAAAGAAATGGACAGTGCTTTTTTGGCATTCTTTTGGGCATAAATTGAAACGGAGTAACTAAGGAGTATTTAAGTTATAAACGGAGTGACTAAGGAGTATTTAAGTTATATGCACTGACAGTTATAGCAGGTTACTTACTGTTTATTTTAAGTTGTCAATCACTGTTACATATTAAATAGAACTACCTGATTATGTAAATATATACTTTTTATATTGTTAATAGTGCATAGAACTTAAACGCTTAGATTTTCAACAGGTATCTAGATCAGTTGGGCAAGACTAGGTTTTCAACTTTCTCTCGATTCTATTAGTCTTTGCTCCTATATATTCTTCATGTTCCACTTAAGTTATATGCAGTACAAAGATTCTTTTATATTAATTATCAGCATAATTTGTTCTATCACATCAGGTTACATACCGTTAGCGCTTATATAGCTCTTAAACTCTTAATTGATTTCCAACAGGTACTTGGATCAGTTCGGAAAGACCAAAGTTCATAACCAAAATTGTCCATTTTTTGGCGTGCTGAATCCTCCATCGCCATGCCTATGTCCTTTAAGGCAAGCTTGGGGAAGTCTTGATGCGCTTATAGGGCGTCTTCGAGCTGCTTATGAAGAACATGGAGGAAATTCAGAAATGAATCCGTTTGGGACTCGAGCAGTTAAGCTTTTCTTACGTGATGTTCGTAGTTTTCAGTCTAAGTCTAGAGGGATTAGCTATGAGAAGAAAAGGAAAAGATCAAGAAATCAGAAAATAATAGAAGCGGCAGAAGGACATGATCAATCACATGGTGCAGGTGCAACTATTTGTGAACAGACTAATAATATTGTTGCTGAGTGATTTGCCTAGAGTATGATTAATTTCCATAACATAATAAGAAAATGATAATGGAACAATGTAAAATTCTAATAAGAACATGATTTTGCATGCCTTCTTTGGATTTATAAGGTGGTGTTTCAGATATATTTTAGTACTATATATCATGCTCTTGTATATATATAGTTGTTTGTTGTCGTTATTGTTGTTATTTCTGGATCTGAATTTTCTTGGATGATAGTTAAAGTGGATAACCATAACGATGTTATGCTTTAAATTAACCTTATTTCCTGTTGTTACTGTTTCTGTTTATTTATTTTATATATCACTCTTTCTTATTTAATTAATCTGTTTAAAAAAGAATGACATATTTTATATTTGAAAACTCTTAACTAATTTTTTGTTTTACCCTAAATGTTGTGGTCTTTAGCTCCTACTCCTCCTTGTCATTTAGGATCGGATCCTCCTTGATCCTTTTTACAATATTCTTGACTGCTTTTGATCCGATTAGTCGGTCGTCTTCTGGCCAGTTACTAGCTCAGCTATGGAACTAGATGTACATCCCACATCGAGACTCTCTACTTGTAAAGTGAGATACCGGCTTTCATAAAAGAGAAAAATCACCCCGATATGCAGCAGATAAGTGTTCATCTAACTAAAATTTTATAAGAGAAAGAAGAATCACAATGTAGGGTCAACATCAATACTTTTTGGCTAAAATAGTCTAATGAGAAAGTGATGGTCATAAAAATGTCATGGCACATGTCTAAGCAGTGACGTACGCAAGATTTTATATAAGCAATGTCATAATTTGAAAGAGAGAAGAAAACAAATGAATAAATCACAATAATGATAAGCGGTGTCATTTTCTACACGTATACTCAATATTTTTATTTTTTAAGCAAATGAATAAATCACTATAATAACAAGCAATGTCATTTTCTTTACGTATACTCCATAGTTTTATTTTTCTTATAAATATTTAGTGAAAAATTTTGACCAAATGGTGTCCCGTGACACTCCATATGGTATAAGGGGCATACGGCCATGTGTCTAAGATCACAAGTTCTGTCATTGGCCGCTTTCCAGACATGCCCCATGACCCCATGGCCACGCCCCATGGCGGCCTAGCAAGCCTCACAATGCCTAGCGCCATGGTCGACCTCGTGGTCTTGGCTGTGCCAAGTGACAAGCGTGCATGCGCCTCTGTCGCCCCACCGGTGCCTCTCACTAGCGCCCAGTGGCTGGCTAATGACAACAGCGTCGCGCGCCCTAACAATGTCGCGCGCGCAGATCCTGATGCCTCGTCAGCGCCCAGCTGCAGGCCCATTCCAACAGTGCCTCGCGCACAGACCCTGATGCCAAGCACCAGCGCCCAGCCTCAGGCAAACACAACAAGTGTCGCACGCGCCCATAGCATTGCACGCGCAGACCCTGACCCGCAAGACAAAGTTGCTGTCATCGAACTTAGTTCTACATTGTAATAAACTAAGTCATTTTCATTGTAATTATAGGCTAGTTTACATCATTTTCATTCAGTGTGCTTTTACAGCTTTATTAGGACTAGTCATGTAACTTTGGTTTTTTTTTATAGTATTATTAGGGGGGATCAAGCAATCAAACATTTTCAAGCAAGCAATTTTTTGTACTGGTGTCTCTCCCCCTCGACACCGCATCTTTTGTAATCATCATTTCATTCATCAGTAAAATCATCATCATCATTCAAAACTCAATTCTCTCTCAGCTTCTGCAATTGCTCGTGATATTGGTTTTCCCGCACGGCACTGACAATCTAGTCTAGCGTGCGGAGGGGACCTCATTGGCGGACAGCAACCGCACTGACATCGGTTGCTTAGCCTTATGTTGCCCTTCTAAAGAACATCAGGAAGGCGTTGCATAACAGTTGGTATCAGAGCCTAGGCTCGACATCGGACGAGGGAACACATTTGCCATCATCACCATTTCTGACCATGGTGAATCATGGGGAGCGTCTAGCATCCCTAGAAGAGACGGTTGACCGATTACGACCCATCGTGGATACGGTGCCTGATCAAAACAACAACCTAGTGCAAAGGTTGGACGACCTGGACCGNAAATTTGAGGACCTCCAACAGGAGCGTGCCGACGATTTAGCCCATCGGCAACAAGAGGCAGACAGAATAACTGCCATGCAGCAAACCATAGATGACTTGACAGGCAAGCTCAATGTTGTCAATACTGCCCTACAGAGCCTACTTCGAGTAGGCGACAACCATATCAGGGGTGCAGCAAACCTCACCCCCATTCCACAAAAACTTAAGATACCGGAGCCAAAGCCATACGACGGATCCCGGGATGCTAAAGAAGTGGAAAATTTTGTCTTCGACATCGAACAATACTTCGATGTCGTGGTCCATTTGGAAGAATCCAAAAAGGTAGCAACTGCTGCCATGTATCTTCAGGGCGATGCCAAACTTTGGTGGCGGGTTAAATACAAAGCCATCAAGGCCGATGAAGATACTCTCCAGACATGGGATGAATTGAAGGCAGCACTACGCCTGCAGTTTTTCCCCGAAAATGTGGAATACAATGCAAGGAGAAAGCTACGGGAGCTCCGCCTTACCAGATCAGTGCGGGAGTACGTGCACGAATTCTCCACACTCATGCTAAACATACGCGACATGGGGGACAAAGACAAACTCTCGCATTCATAGAAGGTTTGAAACCTCATACCCGTATGGACCTACAGAGACAACGGATAGACACCCTGCCCAAGGCCATTCAAGCTGCAGAATGCCTTGGCGATTATCATTTGGGAACTCAGAACGATAGGCCCCAACCGTCTATCCGAGGGGGATTCAATGGGAACCATCCCAGCAATGGTGGCCCAAGCAAAAGTGGGGGAGATCGGAGTGCATCCAAAACTAAGACTCCTCCCTCCAACAGCAACAGTGTTGCATCCATCAACAACAATCAGGGGAGAAAGTCTCCCTCAGAATGCCGTCATTGCGGTGGGGCACATTGGAACAATGAATGCCCAAACATAAAGGTCAATGCTCATCAGACTGTCGAGGACAAGTCAGATGCATCAGACACATCAAAATCAGACTAGGTAGGCACCTTCAATGCAATTGTTGGCTCTATCCCACATGCCTTAGCGGGGACCAGTGCATGTCCTCCTAAGAAAATCTCAGTCCCAATTACCAAGAAAGGGAAAGAAAAGATGGACGAGAGGCCTCCTAAACAAGTGAGGACCCTAATGTTCGTCGAATTGAAAGTGAACGGCAAGCCTCTTCATGTATTGATAGACACGGGTGCTACCCACAACTACTTGGCTTCAACTCAAGTAGAGCGCCTGGCTTGTTGTGCAAAAGAGCAAAGGCCGCATCAAGGCTATCAACTCACCACCCCAGACATTGGGTGGAACAGCTACAAACGTCCCAGTAAAACTTGGCCCATACAAAGGAAGCATCGACCTACGCATCGCAATCATAGATGACTTCGACATTATAGTGGGTTTGGAGTTTATAAGGCAAACCAACACCATACTGGTACCATATGCCAACATGCTCCTGATGATGGGAGAAAATGGGCCAAGCCCTGCACCATACCATGCTTTCCCATAAGGATGGCCGCTGAAAACATCTCGGCCATGCAGTTGGAGAAGGTAGTCAACAGACAGGAACCCCTGGTTCTGGCTACCCTACGCAGCAACAATCAGCCATCATGTCATCGGCCTCAAAAGACTGGTGACGCTTCTCAGCGTGTGAAGACTTGTCAGCCATGCCACAAGGACAAGTCAAATCATTCATCACAGACAGAACCCTTGCAGCCATTACATGTCCCTCAGAGACCATGGGAAAGTGTTTCCCTCAGATTCATCACAAGATTGCCCCAAGTCGATAATCTTGCATCCATCATAGTTGTCATAGATCAATTTTCAAACTATGCAACCTTCATAGTAGCCCGGCAAAATGCATCAGCAGAAGATACTGTAAGCACGTGATTTTTGCCCTATATGAGAATTACTCCCAAAAAATCCAAAAATAAAAT